TGGGTGTGGGTGTGGGTGGGTGGGTGGGTGTGGAGAAAGAAAAGAACCATCCACACCCACACCCACACCCCACACACCCACACCAACCCACACCCACACCCAAGGGGCCGATAATCAAATAAGAACCGGTATTTCATTACATACACAACCATCGCAACGTGTGTCAAGATCCCAGCGAAAGAGTCGTTTAATCAAGGTCGCCCTCCCCGTATCGTTTGTTAGAACGCTGCGATGCCTACATATTATCTTTCTTTTTCAGCTTTTGACCGTAGAATACTAACCTAAATAAACTATACCCACTCAAAGAAAAATAAAAATAAAAATAATACTCTATCTATGTGGGTTGAGTAATTCTGTGTTTTAATATTGCCTTCTGTTCTTATTCTCACACACACAAAATTTAGCTACTCAAAAAAACAAAAATTATATTTTTCACTCTCACAAAATTTTACCTCTTAACACAATTTACTCAATTTACGGCAACGAATTAAACATGAAGTGCAATCTATTATCATGTCTATTATTCACCATGGTCTTCTTATCGATCACAACAAAAACGATGATGATGGTTAATGGTCGACAGTTACATAGCGCCAATGTTATCTGTGAATGTGAATGTTTGAACTGGTCTGAATATAGTAATCCATCAGAGGTAATGGCTAATTGTGATTCCTGCAATGTTGCTGCTTGTCGAAAAATGGGAGGTAGCTGTGAAAGTGGTAGTATATTTCGAATTAGTTGCACTTAAAATCTTCAAGTATTTTTTAATATAAAACAATTACTTTTGAAATAAAGAAAAAGATGAAGCAATAAAAATGACGTATTAAATTATTCATGCGAACTACCGATGAAGTCCTTTTTATGGAGTTTAACTGAGACAATTAGTTTTCGAAGATACTGCAGAAAACGAATTTCTTTAAGCTCTGGAAAGAGATGTTTTGAACTGTGGAAAAACACTATTGTCGATCTCGCAGTTCGAATTCTCGTGCCTCATCAAAATTGACAACCCATTTCTAAAACTAATGCACCAATAATAGGAAATAATGATGTCCATGCTATATCCGTAGAAGTACAAACTAATATTTATTCAGGTTCTAATTGATAAGTAATTGGATCATAAACGATTCTTACTTTTCCTTCATATAAACCTGAAGATACTGGACTAACAAGATATTCATCTTCTCTTAATTCAATTTGATTATGATTTTCATTTGGTATCGTCGTTGCATCATAATAAGTTGTTCCGTCAGCAAGGAATATTATTGGTATTTGTTGATCATACCCTATTTGACGTTGTGAAATTAAATTTTTTCAATAATTAATATTTTCATATTGTTTATAATCAACATCAAAAGCGAATGATTTTAGTCCATCAATATATAACGCGTGAGACAGATACAATGGAGCACTTGTTTCCTATCTTTGAGGTATTTAACAACGCCTTGAAAATCTGGCTATGGACCCATTCTATAGAGAATCGGTTTCTCTACAAAACTACTCAATGCATTTTTCAAATTAATCTTTCTTGTTGGCGTAAAATTTCAACGAGTAATCTCTATTCAATAGTCCATTTGCGTTTTCTTATTCTTTCCAGGTATCAATTGATTTGTTTAAGCCAGTGCTCATCAACATCGATGCTCAAACTAAAGTATTTAACATCATTGGATAGAGTATTGTGTGCTCTACATTTCCAAGAACTTTGAAAGACTTTCCGTACTCTCACTCACGAGAAAAAGCTCTCGAACTAATATCTGGTGCAATTTTTTGGATGCATTGCGGAAAATAATGTTTTTCAAAGAGAGACTCATCATATAAAACGCTGATGCTTATGCCATCACATACAGAATTCAATTCTGAGTAAAATGGTATAAATAGTGACTTGAACAGATAAACTGTCTCACTCTTCAGAATTAACAGAGTGCAAAGTCATAGATCTGCCCGAAAAGAGTTTTTTTTTGAGTGCGTTCACATTTTCAACTTCAAAATCTTTCCTCTCAAATATTTATTCTGAAATTTTGAAAATTACATCGAAAGATAGAGAATTTTTTCCAGAATTTCATGACAAAATTGAAATTTCAACAGAATTGTTCAAAAATATTTCCATAAAACTTTTTGCTTTTTTACTTTCGCAGATGGATTATTAAATAGGAGTTCATTTTTGAAATGTTGTGCTGACAAGAAAGATTAATTTTAAAAATGCATTCAACAGTTTTATAGATAAATTAATTCTCTATCGAGCGAATTGAGAACTAGATTTTAAAGCCATCGTTAAGTGCCTCAATGATAGAGAACAAAAGTGCTACATTATATTTGCCTCCTAGTTAAAAAGAAAATCTGATCAATATTTGAAAAAAGAAATTCCATTACCTGCTAATTAGCTTCACGAAGAAGTTCTTTACAACATTTAGCAAATGCTTTGAATAACTTCATTAAATTTTGAATATTCTCTTAACTAAAATAAAATTTTTAATCGATTAAACAAAATTTTAATAATAGTTGTTGAATAAATGGCCATTTTAATTGATTTTCAGTTTTCGTAAATGTATCATTGGCACTTTTTTTTACTTTGATCATGAATTTCACCAATAGCTTTATTAGGATTATTAGCTTGTTCATAATAATTTGTGGCCTATCAAACTATTATTTGCGACCTATATCAATTTCACTAACAGTACGAGTCGTACTGTACGACTACCATTATTTTGAAAAAATTCATTCAGTTTTAATTGAATATTTTTACATATATACTTGCTAAATTATTTATTGTTGCATTTTCTTTTATTAATACAGTAAATTTCCATGATATAAAATTCATATCTGTTGTTCGATTTGATTCAACAGCATGTGTCAATGCAAGAACATCAATAGGATTTTCAGTGAATTTTTCTAAAATCTTTAGAGATATAATACCAAGAAGAATATATGGAATATCATGGTTTAGTAACGTGAGGGATAACTCTAATAAATATTTTGAAAATGACTCAAATAATCAGAAAAACAATGATTATCTTTATCTTCAAATCCTTTATCAATGCATTGATGGTACTTTTCTATTTCATTCATAAATAACTTTTATGCATATAGTGAAAATATTAAATGTTATACGGATTTTATAATTAAAGAAATAGAAAATTAGAATAAAAAAAACATGATTTTAATGGTAAAAATATTGATTTCCATGAAAAATACTTCGAATGAATCAAGTAATTTATAATTTTACTCATTTCAATATCAACTGTTGACACACCAACTAAACTCTTATAGATGATGATGTTAACATACCAGTAATATTAACCCAAATATGGTTTCTTACTGATTTAACTATATTATGTCGTAATAGATTTGAAGATATATCATCTTCAACTAAAGTTCTTTGATTAATACCTATTATTCATAATGAATTACCAATAAAAGACTACGGATCGTACTTTCATCTAAAACTGTCATAGGTTCAAGAAATCCTTGAGAGCGGCTATGAGTGTGGGTCTTAATTTCTGTTTATCCACACTCACGCCCTAAAATGAAATAACAATAAAATAATATATAAATGTGCTTTGATAAAAATAATTCATGAAATACAGAGTTAATTTCACGAACGCGTTTCGTAGTGTTCATTAAAATATTAAAAAACTCATCAGAGCTCTGCATTGTATTTTTTTAAGAAGAAGCAAGAAAACAAAAAAAAAATAAGAATAAACAAAAACACATAAAAGAAAAAAGGGATAATTTTAACTTGTCGCAGCTGTTCAATTTTACCGTAGGTCACTTTGTACTATGTTTGATTTTTCGAGTTGGTGGGTGTAGAGGTGGGTCTTCTCTTCAACCATCCAGCAAAACCCACACTCTCTCATGGATGTCAGCAGAGTTCAAAAAAACATCGAAAGTCACACGTAAAATTTCAAGAGAGACTGCTTTTTTCCACTCTTTTGTAAATGCTAAGGACAAATATTGCTCTGTCATTTAAAATGAAAAATGGAGTCATAATGAATACAAAGTATCATTCCGAGTTGAAGTTACGATTTTTATTTTATATTGTAGCTTCGATCTGTATACACCATATGCGTATTCCCAGCGCATTTTTTATTGCTTTCGTTCTACAGAATAGTTCATCATCAAGGCTTCCATTGTTGACTCTTGTTATCTTGGCCTTGCAAAAGCAAATATAAATATCATAAGTCCATTGCTATACGAAGAATAAAACATTCTTTCATTCACTACTCCTTTTATCGAAAGTAAATCATGGCTGCCATTTTATATGCTTGCGTCTTGTTACTGTTGGTGATCAATGTTGAAGGGCAAAGTAAAGAAAACTTTGAATATCGAATTTTATGAATTGAATATTCTTTTTTTTTGTTGGGCAGCACCGATATGTGGCATGAATGAACAGTATAAGAGCTGTGGCTCGGCCTGTGCCGAAACCTGTGATCATAAACCAGAATTCTGTATTATGGTATGCAAGAGTGGCTGCTTCTGTGAGAACGGATACGTTCGTCAGTCTAACACACCTGGAAGTCCTTGCATTAAACGGGAAGCCTGCAAAAGAAAGGATGATACTCATCTCTGTGGCGCGTACGAAGAATTCGACACTTGCGGCTCAGCGTGTGTTGAAACTTGTGACTACAAGCCTGAAATATGTACAATGCAGTGTGTTGCTGGCTGTTTCTGCAGTGGTCCGAAGTATATTCGACGAGACAACAGTACTGGCAGTCCGTGCATCAGACGCGAGCGATGTCCGAAATAGAGTATAATAAGTTTTTGAGAAAGGTATATTCAACTTTTGTGGAAGTTTAATTTAAAGAAAATAAACAAAACAATTGTCGAAATTCACAATATGTTACTGTTTTAGTCATTCGAATTTAAAGTTCAGACGTTGTTCATCTGTGAAAGAAAGACATTAGCGCTCTATTGAGAGCGGTCAGAAAATATACAACATCGAGTCTGTATGTGATGTTGTGTCCAACATCCTCATATTTCAGTAAGAAAAAAAAAACAACTTCATGTTTTCTTTCGTGGGTAATTTTGGATTTTTTCTTAGAGTTGACTCTAAGATGACTATTGATACAACTTTCGAGGAATAAAACCGAGAAAAATCAAAAACTACCTCAGTTACCCATCATAAAATGCCAACAAAATGGATGACTTGTTAAATGTTAACCTTATTATTTCTGAAAGATGCAATCGATCTTGTAGACCAGGTTGCTCATTCAAAATGGTATTGCAGTGTGCGAGAAGTAACAGCAAGTGTCTTTCACGTTTACGACATATATATATTCGATTTCATGATGCTGCAGACTTGTTATTGTTTCGTTTACTCATATATTTGATGGATGAGAGTGAGAGGGTGAGGATGAAAAGGGAGTGAGTACGAAATAGTGACCATGATACGTTTCGACTCGGCTAACAGTCTCATCAGGTGACTTTAGTGATGGGTGGTGAGTGTGTGTATGTAGATGAAGAGAAAGCCCACACTCCCACCATCTCACTGGCCGACACCCACATCCAGCACAAAACAATACATTTTACTTAACAGAATATTTTTGCTTCTACAATCAAAACTAAACAATGGCACAACTGAAGTCTTTCAAAATCTCTAGATTTTAAAGGTTTGTTTTTCGAAAATTGCTTCAGTCCATATATGACTACGATTTTTGGTACCATTTTCTTTCAAAACTTACTTATTACAATGACTTGCTACATTACATGAGCTAAAACTCCATTGCAACATAAAACCACAATGACATACAAATCGAACTGTTTTTGAAAAACAACCTTCAAAAACGAAAGATTTTGAACAATTCAAGTCATGTCTTTGTTCAAATTTAATCAAAGAAGAAAAATATTTTCTAATGTGAAATGCATCGTTGTGTGCAGAGTTACATAGTGAGTCCTTTGGTAAAAAGTTCAAAGCTGGAGAATGAAAACAGATTGAAATGTCTTCAAAATATTGAAACCACCATTCATTATGCGTCACTCGTAATACCGCTGTCGAAACACCTAACATTCGAATATGTTTTCCGATATAGTGCCAAAACTATCTCTTGAACAAGAAGTATCTGAAAATCGTATTCATTTCGATGAAGCCATAAATGATTCATTATTTGTTCCTATCGAAGTAGGTTTTTAATTATTCTATATTAGAGACTAAAATAAATCATTCGTTTGCTTTTTTTGTACAGTCACGTTCTTTGCTACTCTATTCACATCGGAATAGAACAGCGACTACAAATTTTTTTTTTATAAAAATGTACTTTGTTGCATTGAAAGCATCAGCTATCTAGCGAGTGATTATTTTGTCTAGGCATGGAATTGTACAATAGATGTCAATTATCAACAATAAGTGAATCTCGAATTGAAACAAGAAACATGTCGCCATCAAAATCGAGATGATCAGAATCGAATGATATCTTGTTTATGAATATCAATATTGATTTTCTTAATAGGCTTCTATTGATGTTACTTCAGCATGCCAGTGCCAACGTTACAGGAACGGTCATTAAAGTACCTATTGATGATTATACACACGTAATCTGTCTTTTATTCGAACAAGGTCAAATCAATGCTATGAAAGTCATTTACAATCCTGACGACAACACATCTACAGAATTGTTCTGTCTCTTGTTCTGAAAAAGTTGGTCACCTCCAATGAGTCAATTGCAGGTTCTCGATCAACAAACAGATGAATTTCGAAAGGTTGCTAATTCTTTTACTGATGATTATTATCAAATTATTCCTATTGAACGAATTGAAAATGAAACATGGCGTATAATATATGAAGAAGAAAAGAAAACAATTGATAAATGCCATTGTTCCAATCAAACTGATTGCGTTCTCTTTTATGGTTGTCTACGAACAACTTCTGAAGCAATTTTACAACGAGGATTCGACAATAGAATCGTCGGTATAACGGATTTTACTTCTTAATAAATTCAGTACATAGTCACATGTACACTTTGTCTGATCTACCACACGGAGATGAACGAACAAGGCTCGTATGTCATGTTATCATGGGTAAAATGCGTTATGGTCATTTGATGATGGCAATCCATGGAGTACAATACGATTTGGTTACCAATGAATCAGAGATTCGTGTCAAATCGATTAGTTGATACATGAAATTGGTAAACTAAGTACAACTAGATGGTATTCGAGTTTCGACTCGAATACGAAATGCGGTGCGAAGCACACGTGCGGAGAATTCGAAAAACGAATTTCGAATCGAAATCGAATAATCTCTCTGAATATCATCACAATTTGTTCTCACATTCTACGTCAAGGTTCAGAGATAATTGAAGATTTTTCTGAGTTAGATACAATCGAAGAAAAAAAACATTTTTATCGAACAGCTGATCTAACGTAGATCGGACCTGAAAGGCATCCATTATGAAATTGATCACTAGAGGAACTCTACTAAAGCGTATCGACAGACTTCTAAAAACTGTTGTTTATTGATCGATTAATTATCTCAATGATTCATTATCTACTATCAGCTGTATTTACAGCTGTTTGACATATGAGAAAAGTAAATGGCGCCTAACTTTGTTTTATTTTTTCAATTTTAATTATCTCAAAACGAAAAGCAAATAATAATTTCATATTTGTCATTTTTGGAAACCGATTATGAGGAAATTAAGCATTTTCAGAACAATATCAATACAAAAGTTACGTGTTCGATCTCGATACTTTGGCTTTGCGTTTAAACGACTGTTTTGTGAGTTTCCATTTTCGAGATCATTGCGTGACAAAATGACAAGTTTGATGCGTACGTATAGTAAAAAAGAAAGAAAAAAAAAACCTCGCGACGGACTACAAAAATGCAGTGCTTCGCACCGCATTAAAAAAAGTAAACTCGCGACGGACTACATAAATGCTCCTGCTTCGCAGGGCATTAAAAATTCATTATCTTCTATCAGCTGCAATTTACAGCTGTTCAATATAGATCTAAACAATGTGGCGCCTAACATTGCTTTGTATTTTCGATTTTAATTATCTCAAAAGTAAACTTTGTCAAAATCGTGTTTTTGGAAGGCCTTTTTTGTGCGAAGCAGACGTCCGATTGCAGATTGTAAAAAGAATTGAAGTATCTCAATCTCGATACTTTAGGCTTGCGTTTGAACGAATAATTTGCGAATTGTGGTTCTCGAGATCATTGCGACACAAAACAACGAGTTGATGTGCGTACGTCGAGAAAGTAAAAGAAAAAAAAAGAAAAAAAGAAAAAAAGAAAAAAAGTAAACTCGCGCACGACTACATAAATGCTGTGCTTCGCACCGCATTAAATATTCGGATACTTCAATCGAGTGACTCTCTCTTCGACGAATTAATGACTTTATTCGAGTTGACGGCTTTGTTCAATATTTGCCATCGAATCAAATCAAATGTTGTTGAATATTGAGACCACCAAATTGTGTAGTATCAATAGTTCCGATTTATTAACAAGCATCTGTACGTTTACAATACCGCTAGAATACAAAAAAAGAAGAAACATCTTGCTTCCTCTTTCCTACCTGTATGAATATTGTCGAATTAGAAAAAAACAAGACAAGTTTTTCTTATTTCATTATCTTGAGTGTATGAATAAATGAACTAATTATTGAAACTATGATATAACTTTTAAAAGAATTTGATGACGTAATGATTTGTGCTGAATTGATTATAATAGAATCCAATATTGAATTGTTTTACATGGATATTGTGTTTCTCAAATCGATATAAAGTTTTTTTCATTTAAGAAAAAAATCTCAAAGTGCAATAAATCATAGGATTGCGTGTGCTGAGGGTGTGGGTGGGTGTGGGTGTGGGGTGTGGGTATTGGTCGTATTGTGAATTCATCCACACCCACACCCCACCCTCGAGCCCATATGAATCGTTGCTCACGATGCTTGTTTGTGAGTAAAAGCTTTTTTAAAGATGGACCATAACTTCCGCCGCTTTCACATAATCAACGTCTAACAGTATGTGGATCAATATTCACGCCGTTCTTTTTTAGAACTTTTGAGATGTCATTTTATGTAATATTTAGCTCACTTTTGGCAATATTAATAATCTTTGTGTCTGTTTTCTTCGACGTAGCATGTGATTGGTCAGTTTTTGGTAAATTAGACAGATCTTCATTTTGTTGCCATCTGGCAAGGCAATGCCGTACGGCTTATGGTTCACATTCAATGTACTTCGAAATAGCTTTATTTGACATTTTAGAGTCCACTGATTGTAGCTTGAGAAACACAATTTCATAGAGTTGTAATAGAGAAAGTAGCACGTTTTAAATTTTATGAAAGAATGATGATAAAAACCATTCTCGATACCGATCCACATTTTACAAATTAACAATTTTTACATAAGATAGGGTCATCTGAATCAACAAATAAGAGCAAAGAGGAATGAGAATGATTATTGTTTAGAGCTGGATTAATTTTATATGTTACTTCGATAACAGAAAAAAAAACAAATATTAAAGGTTTCCAAAAAGATAAGGGGAGGGAAAGACATTTACCCAAGGGTATAATATATGGAAGGAAAGAGAAGAAAAAAATGAACAGAAAGGAAGGGAAAAATACCATATGGCACACAAATAATAGATATAGCCAATGAATGTCTTATATATTTGGTTACAGACACCCATAAAGGTCCTAGTGATGGAAGAAAACGAGGAAGAAAAAGAGAGAAAATGGTTTTATTCTTCACTGATTTGCTTGTTATTATTTTTTTGCTCTTCTCTGGTTCTTTCCGAGCAAGACTATAAATACACTAAGGGTGTTAGCTTTTGTATGCCATTTTAAAATAATTGACGAAACAAGCACATCACACTATTTCTATTTCTATTCTTCCTCTTCTGCTTTTTGACTTGCCAACTTCGAAGAATATTCTTTCTTATATCGTTTTTTTCTCTTTATCATTGCCAATTAGCGTATTGCACAGGTGTGACTTTTCGTACCGGTACCCTATTCATACATGAATTGTTTAGGTGTTACCCCATTCGTACTCAGCCAGTACCCGTATCCGCATCTCTTCTGTACATATCTTACCCATACCTATAATCACAATTCACAATAGAGGTTGACGATTTTATTTTGCATGGTTAACTACGAAAAAAGTAAAAAAAAAGAAAAAAGGTCTGTATGGCGATCAAATGCGGTTACGAAGAAAAGATGCGAGGACTAAGGGAACTTCGGCTATGTGTATGGTAGATACATATAAAACAAGAAATCCTTTGTATTCGCTCGACTCTCTATATTCAAACGTGTTTAAAAAATAGGTATATGTGAATGTATATAGTTCAAATACATCGCCGTTCTCAAGTCTTACCTCTTCTACAACTATGCGATGATTTTTTTAATCTTTCTATTCCTGTCATTTGAATCTGAAATCGGAGTGCTCTTTTTTCTGTCCGGTAAATTCGTTTCAACTTTATCACTGTATATGTGTTGTCAATCACTCCGCGTATGTCAATCGTGTCATCGCACCCTCGGCTGCGGCGATGTCGTGCATGGATCTTTTCTTATGTGTCACCCTTGTAGTGGTACCTTCAGCCAATACGATGTGACGTTTTTTTTTTTCGTATATCATTCATTCCGTTTATGTTAGTCTTTTCGTGCCACCCTCAAATACTCAATGTTTCTTTAGCCACTGCACCTTTATAAAAAAGCTGTTAGCGCAATCCATTGCGGGATTAAAAATGGGAAAGACGATGGACCTATTGTTACTAGTTAAATGGAAATCCTTTTGTTCCATTTCCTTACGACGCATTTGTAGCCGACCGTATATTTGATGCTTTACAACTACAATTCCTCTGTCACGGTCTGTGACGGGTACCCCGGTTCTCTGTCACGGTCTGTGATGGGTACCTGGATTCTCTGTCACGGTCTGTGACGGGTACCTGGATTCTCTGTCACGGT